AAATTTAATCCAAAATTACGGAATGTCTACGAAAGAAAGAAATCGTGTAACATTTCACCCACTTTTAAACATGTATTGGCAAAGAAGCCAACACTGCGAAGTCCATATGACACAATTCTATCATTACCCTTGAAAAAAATATGTTGTCAATGCCATTTTCACACATTTCGAATTGCAAAATTAGAATTAGAAAAAGTACTACTCCTTTTAAATTCATATTGTTAGAGAATACCGCACTCGGCTTTACACGGAAAAACCAAAACCGCTATATTCTAAAATTTATAAACAAATTGAACCTGGTTTTAATGGCAGATGGAAAAAGCTTTTAGCAACTTAACGGAGTTTTCCATTATCTAATTCAAGTCACGAATCATTGTGATAAACAAAACAAGGCGAGATCTACACGGAAAGTGGCACATTTGAAAATGTCGCTTTATCAATAAGCGATCAGACCTCAAAGAATAACTTTTGATAATAAGAACGACCCATCATACTTAGATCACGGTGTTATTAGATCTATTACTTTTCTCGTCAAAATTTAATGAATTTAACTCGAAGGGAATCAACAACGAAGTTTTATTTTCTTTAAAAAAAAAAAAGAAGCAATCAAGTGCTGTCAGGCAAATGTTGACAAAATTTCCGATTGGTGGGGTTCACTTTTGTAACAATCTTAATACAGAGTTGAGTTAATCAAGAGAGGTGATGGATGATTATTTCGCGATGAACACAAGAAAACGAGAACTTCATTTACGAGAGTACAATTATGACTTTAACATGACTGTGTTTTGAGAAGCTGTTATTGAACCACAATGGTGTATTCAATATCTGAAAGGTAAACAACGAGCAATATCAATAGCTTTTGACTTTGCATGAAGCATTTAAAGGAAGCAAACGATGTGATAAACGAAATTAAAGGTACCGGAATTCAAAATAACGCAGCCAAGATGTACTTGTATTGAATAATTGTACTTTCTTTAAAGGGAACATTTGTGAAAACAAGGATGTGACGATGAAAGGCTTTTTTGTCTGTTTTTGACAATATAATAAGCCTGGTGCCGATTCACCACTCCAAGAGCGGGTTTAATAACTATGTTATCAACTGGTGTATATTAACCATCATTTGCCGGCAGTCCTTTCAAAAAGCTTTAAAAACAAAACTAGGAAATAGAAATTACATCCGAGTGGGACAGAGGATATTTGATTGAAAAGTAACAATACGGGTAATAGTATAAAATGCGAGGGCCAGCTTTGGGGGAGTTTATCATAACTCACTAAGGGCTTCGATATACGACAAGCTCTTTTCACTCGTAAAAGTTTAAACTCACCGATCAGGAAGGTGCGATGGAGAACCACAATCCAGAAGAAACTACAGAGGCGCTGAGGTAATTAAATTTTTAAGGTCCTCCTTCATTTAACTGCTCCCCTCTTAGAACGAAAAATGATTAGAGGTAATTATTTATTTAATTCCCCTCATCGCAATCATCATGTGCGGCAACATTAACAGGTTAATTTCTTACGGTATTGAGCTGACCGATAGAAATCTGTTTGCAGTAGCAACTCTCTACCTTAAGCTAACCTTTTGAAACTGCTATCACTTATTCCTCACGTGAAACTATTATTCCCAATGTAGCAATCTTTATCATGTAGCTCTTAAAAAAGGAAAAAGACGAGCATAAAGCTTAACTGCTACTTCTCTTATTAATAGCACACCTTAAAACTGTTCCATGATTAATATTTAATTATTGAGATAAAGAAAAATGTTTGTTATGTCAGAAACACACACAACTTTAGATAAGACTCGCTTCTCGTTCCAAATTTTGCTAAGAGTCTTGCGAAAGCTCAGTGAGCTGTAAAGAAAATGTTCGTGTTGATGACAACGCAGAGTTTCTATATAGCTCAAGCAGGCTTACACAGATGTCACAGAGCCGTTTTCTTTTCCATTTTTCCATTTTTTTTTAATTCGGTTGAGGCCAAGTTCTCATCAAGTAACACGCTAGATGGAGGATTATTAGTTGACGAAATTCTCACAACTGACATCATAAGAATTGTATGGCAGACAGTTAGGAGAATTCATAATGAGATCTTGGGAGCGAAAGGTTAAACAGACCGACCGTTAGGCTCAAATTATATTTCCTTACGAATTCAAAGGGTCAGTTCGAGTTAATACTGAAAATTAAATACAGGTTCGGGTCAGTCGTTCAGGAAGGACCTGAGATCGTTATGTTTCAAATCCTGCAGAATTTTTCACATTTTAATCCGATAAAATCATGTTTTGGCCAAGTCCTTACGCCTGGGTCATCATTTTTATCTTAAATTTTAAGGTCTTTTTTAAGTCCCTTCCATGATTCTCCCCCTTAGCAAAGTTTTAGTCATCACGTCTCAGAACTTGCAAGAAAAGTTTTCGCATGTCACTGTCATTAATCAATAGATTCCCCATTTCGGTTGTCGTTTTCAGTTGAGGTTGTGGTAGAATCGTTAACAGTCTTAGTCTCCTTGAAATCCTGAATATATCTGAAAACTTTTGATCAACGAAAGATCGATTAATAAGCTTAGAAATGATACGATTGCATTTAAAGTACTTCTCTTTAGCTCGCAAGCATAGCAAAAGGAATGGCGTCTCTATCTGCAAACAACAAAGAGAAACATGTGTACACCGACAATTAAACCTTAAAACACACACAACTTAATTAAACCTATACTAGAATTACTTAACAATTATAAATATTCTCGATGTAAAGAAACCTTTCTTGTTTAGCGTACTTGTTTACATTAAAGTAAAGGGGTAATTAATGTTTTGAGTATATTTCATTCATGTTTGTTTTCTAAGTTGTTAATCAATATGGAACGGATGCAAAACTGTCGTGGGAACAGATTAGGAAATTTCGCATGTTCTCTCGAGCTCGAGTCGATAACATCCGTATTTTCTTCGTTATTCCCCGGCGAAGGGAGCATTAACCACTGATCTTACTTCACACGAGTTTATTTACTTATTACTACCACCAGCTGGCGTTGTTTGTGTTCCTCAATTTTAAATTCATAAAAGCAGTGACAATATTTGATGAATTAAGAAGGTTTTTGTTGTGGATGCAACTTAAACAAATAGTCCTGTGGAGGTTTTCATTTTCTTCGGTTTCTAATACCTGGTTTTCGGTTTTCATGTCTCCAAAGACACGCAAGTTTCAAACCACGTATTTAAGTTTATATATTTCATTACCAGGTTTCGTTAGGCGGTGAGTGTTTTACGCTTCGGGCTAAGTTAGCGTTTCTGCTCCACAGCCTCTCATTTTAATGATTTAATTTCCTGTACTTGTATTGGAATAATAACTTCTTTGCAAACGCTTTTTTTTGAAGAAAACAATGCAACCTACCGAACCGCGCTCTAGCCACATGGAAGACTAACAACGCAGAAATGTTAACAAAAAAAGCATCGCTTAAAACCTCATGCATCAGAAACGATCCAAGTCTTCCTTAGTGATTATTTGCAGTAAAGGTAATTTGCTGAGCGAAACAATAACTCCAAAGCAGCAATTTTTGCCGCTTTCCGTCGAACGCGCCTCCAGATTTCCGAAACTCTTAAAGTTGCCCTCTCTGAAACCACAATGGCGGTATTTATACAATTGATTCATAATATTTGAATTGTATAATACTTTATTGTTTAAGGGGCTATTGAGTTCTTGTGCGGTTTAAGTCACAAGTACCGACACAGGCAAGCTCATTAACGTCAAACATCTAAAACCAACACCACTGTTTTTTAGCGAGCGCGACACAAGCAAATTATTTTTTTAGATAGCATCTCCTCTGAGGTTTCCAGATTGTTCTTAATTGCCCTGGTTATTAGCATTGTTGTTAACTCAGTGAAACATTTACCGCCTTATCACAAGAGAAAGCGCGTTCGGCAAATGGCAGGCCTTAACGATTATTTCAGAGAACTTTTCACTGATAAGATTTGGATACGCACTAATTACACTGCAAACGCTCAACATAAACAGCGACTCGTCGTTTTGGGAACGAACTTTTAATAGTGGTCATTATAACATTCTGTAGTTGAAGAGGCGTCCCTTTTCCTCTAACGTGGACCCATGGCGATCTTTATTTTAAACATCGCTTCAATAAACCTCATGCTTTGAATTTTTCTTTTACAAGTGCTCCACCGAATATAGTTAACAAAACAAATTGGATATAAGATATTTGAGATATAGATACGGCGTTTGCTGATTGAACTGTAATTACGATGCTGTGATTTTTTTTTTTTTTGGAAATTAAAGTTCTTTTTTTCAAAAGCCAAGCAGTTGCGAAGTTTATCTTTTGGTAGCAGCAGGTAAAATATAACAAAACTCGAACCAAAACAAATCCATAGGCCTGTCCGTTCAATCTGTCTCTAAGTATAAACAAGGCAAAATATTTGGCCAGCCACTCGCATTCTTATGACTTTCCCTTAAGGAAAGATGAGGCGTTCTATCAACTTCCCTTTTCATTCGCAGAATCCGTCCACATAATGAAAGATTGGTGAGATTACTCGTTTCCTTGCGGGAGACGATTATGGATTCGCCATTCGTCAATTTGTAAGCACGGAAATCTGAATGTTTCTTTAGCGAGTCATTCTGTCGGCAAGATCACAGCAGTCCTGCTCAGTGCGTCAGTCAATGAACACGAACCAATGAGTGGTTCTCTTTCTCAAATTGTGTGCCTTTGTTCAACCGACCCCTCCTTAAGCTCGGGACTAAGAAGCTTTGCATTTGGTTTCTTGGGATGATCTTTTCAATAAAATCCCTTTTCCCCTATGAAGTTTGGTTTCATGTTTCATCAGAGCAATTATCCTGAAGTAGATTTTTCCCTTAAGTGAGCATTAGGTGCTAATCGCTATCACAACTCATCGCCACTTGAGGTTGTCAAATCATTCAATTAATTTGGATGACAATTATGCGTGCACGCAGCAATCAAAACAACCTCGTCGACCGACGGTGACTTCTATTGTACCGCCGCACATCACTATAGTATAGACACCGAATTTAATCCACCCCCAAAAGCGTTACCAAAGGTTTCGTAACACCGTCTGCGTTCAGTAGCGAACGGCGCACAACAAGTCGCCGCCGTGCGTTAAACAAGCGCAGTGCTTTTCAGAATCCAGGATGCAAGGAAGTGATCGGTTTTCTATCGATTCTCTCATTGATAACAGGAATAGAGGGAGCCTTAGTAGTGACGGAGAGGATGCACAAGATATTTCTGGTCCAGAGGACGAATCTGCTCCAGAGACAAGAAACGCAGTGACATCTTTCACAGTGAAAGATATTTTGGATCCGCACAAGTTTAATGCTCCAAGGAGAAGGCCAAGTGAGAGTGATTCAGACAGTGAAAGCTCAAATAGAGGAGAATCAAGAAATAGTTTGTCATGGCATCCATGGATGGCGGCGACTAGATTTAAGCGTTCACAAAACTCAAGCGGTAAGAGATCGATTGCCATGAAGCGATCCATTCTTTTGAAAAATACTACTCCTTGTTTCATTCTATTTATATTGAATAAGATTATTCATTTGCGGCTAGAACATATTTTTATCTTCACTGCGGAGGTTTTGATTTATTTTTCTCGCCGTGTAACACGCCTAAAAGCGATTAAGAGGAAATGTTGGTCATTCAAATTATGGCCGGCATCGTTTCATTTATTCTTCCTTCTGACCACTGGGTTCACATTAACAACCATTTAGCTTAAAAGGTCTGCCACAGGAGCAATTAATTCGGTATAAAATGTTGTGGTGGAGTCTGCCTGGTTTCAATGTCGCTTTCTTTCAAGTAATGTTTATAATTGTCTTCACCTCAACAAGCAGGCTACATTGATCTTGCACGATTATTTTCTCTGACATGATCAGTTAACCAATTCTATGCAATATGTTATCTAAATTGCAGACGATTACTTGTCGCTCACTATAAATAAAACTTTAAATCCACAGAATCTGACACATGTACGGAAAAGGACAAGAACGAACACGAATCATCTAATCATCAGGAGAACGAAGAATGCAAGTCGACATCAGGGTCCAAGTCAAAGAGAAAGCGAGGCGGCTCCGAAAGATCAAAGGAAGGAAAACCACGACGAGCACGAACTGCCTTCACGTACGAGCAACTCGTCGCTCTAGAAAACAAGTTTAAGAGTACCAGATACCTGTCTGTTTGTGAAAGACTGAACTTGGCTCTCTCCCTAAGCCTAACGGAGACACAAGTGAAAATTTGGTTTCAAAACCGACGCACGAAATGGAAGAAACAAAATCCAGGAGTTGATGTTACTGCTCCACCACGACCTACAACTTTGCCTCACGCGCCATCCCTGGCCGGCTACGGAACCGGAATTCTGTGTACATCACAGTGCCCAACGCAAATACACCACTATCCACACTATCAACCGAGCACCGCTCATGCTCTTCCGTGCATTATCAGACCGCATCCGACATATGGACATATGTAGAAGAGGAAAAGCTGACTGTATCAGAAGAACTACTGTACTGCAACAAAAATGCGACTCACTCCTACCACTGAGACATATATATAAAACAAAATAACACTACAAGATATCTACACGAAAGGAAATCAGATTTATCTATGATTGAATTCTGACTTGATCATACAAGTACGCCTGCGGCACTCTTCCACGAAGAGTCAAAGAAATTAACTTGGACTGTGTGAAATTATAAACTGCAGAGCCATTGCGCCGAGTACCGAACTAAGTTCTTATCCATTTTCACTTTACAAAACTTTCTATAAAATGAAATAAGTGGGTTTTTAAGCCCAATCATAGTATTCATACATAAATTCCAAGGAAATTCGAAAGTGGTGTTTTATTTCGTAGCAGTCGCATGCGTTCAAGTTTCCATGCCTGAGCCGTCTTCGGTTAAATCAGTGCCGATTGTTCGAGGCGGAAACTAAGAACTGAGGGATCTGTTAAAATATTATCATTAGTCAAATTTCTGAACTGTAAATACTGTACAAAAGCGTATGTAAAATAATCGACTTCTTGCAGTATCATTTGCCAAACGAAATTAAAATGAATGTTTCCAAGCAAGTTGAGAAATCACGTTTCAAACCGAAAGAATGTTTAACTTAAGATATGCCTTTTTCTTTTGAAGGAAAAGCAAAGTAAATAACTTTTTTGACCAGTTCTGTCTAAAGTTGAGAACATGCCTTGAATAAAACTGGATTGGAAAAAGTTTTTTTTTCTGGAAACAGCTGTTTTCACATTTTGTGAACTGATTTCTTTACGGCAGCGTCGGTAGTCATCGTCTAAGGGGACTTCAATCGCCGAGGACTTCAAATGTTTGCTTAGTAAGGTACAGAGAAAGTGGTAAAACAGTATCTAAAAATAAGATATATTTGCTCCAGAATCAACCTTGGCCCAAACAAAGTGTTCAGTCCTTATGTGAAAATTTGTTTTGCTAATTGGCAAAAAAATTTGCTTTGAATGCTGCACTGAACCGCCTCCTTTGTTGTTCCATTACGACCCAATTTGACCACACTGTGTTAGAGCGACAAAATGATCAAACTCACCATGACATTACTTATTTTATTCGTACAAAAGATTTGTAATTCTCAACAAATATTGAATTTACGACCACTTCCCCATGTCGGCTTTGTTTGAAAAAGATTTAGAGCGGAAAAGCCCACATTATACAACGTCTCCTTCAAAGTTCACCTGGAGAAAGTTACGCAAGTTATCAATCACTTACAAAGCAAAACCTTGACATTCAAACGTAAGTATATTTCGATATTTTCAAAATAATTTCAGGCAGAGGGTGTTGACAATTCTTGTTTTCAAGGCGCGCGAATCTTATGTCTCTTCTCTTTAAGTCTCTATGTCTCATAAAGATCCCCTTTAAGCTCTTTTCCTAGTTTATTCATCGTATTGTCGAAGCTTTGTCGGTTTAATTAAAAGAAAAAAGAAACTGGAACATTAAATTCATTGTCCCTGTATGAACTTTAAAACTAACCATGTTAAAAATAGACTTTTGACACTGATTGGGATGAGTTACGTTCAAATTATAAAAACATAGTGGCCTTTTCTTTTCTTCTCATAACTGGCCAAAACTAATAACAAAATTTCATCTCAAACGGATTTGCAACCATTTGGTCGAGAGCTTTGCAGCTAAAACTATTGGGATAGAATCTAAATATGACACGAATGATCTACTTTGGCTTCAGTAAGTCGATACTGAATCTTTCGAGTCTGCTTGCTCCACAGGTGTTTGATTTTAAAGCACATGGATTGGCAAAAAGTTCTTTGTTGAGTCAAGAATCTTTGGCTCCATTGTCATTTCGTAAATAAATCCTCAAGCATTGTTCATTGAACTCCGATCATGATACTTAGAAAGAAATTTCAATTTTGAATTTCTTTCTGCTGTAAGTTGACTTGTGTTGTGTTCCTGTCACTTTCAAAAGCAGAAAAAGTATTACCTCTCTGATTAACTCACAAAATTATCAGAAACAAAAGTGAAGTGGATCCTCTGACGGACGAGCATGCAGTCACCTCTGAATGAACCTTATATTTTGGAACATCTCTGTCCGTTTAGAGGTGGCTATTTTCTTTCTTTCTCGAAGCGATAAGTATATCACGACATCTTTAATAACCTAGTGCGTCGATTGATAGTGATACCAAACAATAAAAGCCGATTTCAAAGGACTAGATGAACAAGGCTGCCGTAAAGATATTATCTTACAAGCCTGAAGCTGCGACACTCATTTTTATGATTTGTGGTCGACATTAGGATTATATTGGCGCCTTCGAAGGGCCGAGATACTGCTCAGTTCCCTTGTTTCGCTAATTTTCATTTTAAACCTGAAGTAAAACGGCAAGAACTTACGAGGAGCACTGCACTTATGGTGCAGTATTATCAGTTGCGTTTGCAAATAACAAAACGCCTCCTTCCGTTCATGGAACAACGAAGCAAATATCAGATTAACAATAGCGGTTGAGCGGGGTAAGTATGAACTGATTCCTCTGATGATTACAAAAACCCTTTCGAATGATTACTTGTCCTGATTCAGAGCCATCTATGTACCCTTGGACTGATGAGACCTTAGGAACTCTTCGGCGCAGAAATACAGTAGTGCAATCTTCTATTTCGCGTGGCTCTTCGATCTACGAAGACTAAATCTACTTTCTTAGCATATGAACATTGTTGACGTTTACAATCTTTAGAAGCAGAAACGTGTTGCAAGGTTGAGATAGAAATCAAGTCTTAATCCAGACATGTTTTTTCCGTCGGAGTACATGTAACTGCTGGGTTAGAGAAAAGAGCCAGAAAGGAACATTCCCTTTATGATTCATGAAACACGTGCTCTGTTCATTACAAGTAATTCACAGAGATCAGGTTAAGTTCAGATAGCTTTATATTAATTTTAATGTCACTGCATGGATACCCGGCAGTTGCGCCTCTAATAATGAAGAGTGTTTACTATGAAACTTACTGCCACGAAAGTTACTGGCGCAAAGCAATCACTGAGTGATCGCACACTTCTAACAGCAACAAAGCATAAGTGCACTACAATCGCCTGTTTACTTTCTCAACTGTCTCTTGTTAGTGCATAGCTATAAACTGGCTATAGTGTGGGAGAAAATAAACTTGTGTCTCAGCTATAAAAGCAAATCTAACAGAACACTCCGTTGAACTTGGCAAGTATAACTGCCACTTTCATCCTCTACTGGTTACTGATACCCACCAAGTTTTAAGTGGAAGGAACATGAACACTTTTTTTTCTGTTATCTAGTGGGTTCGTAAGTTTTACATCCCTTATGAGCATGTTACTTGTCCAGTCCCATAATTTTAGTTAAAGGTAACGACAACAGAATTTTCGGGAAGAATCCAACTTCCTTTCCATATGGGAGAATCATCATCTTTATGTTGTCCTTGTAACTGGCTAGATTTTATTGTCCAATCCCTTCAGCTTTTTAAGAATTATGTACTTTACCACATGGAAGACACGTATTTGGAAAACACGTATTTGAACCTATCTGCAAGTTTGTGTTCTAGTCGACTGACTGACGTACGCAAAGCTCGAGAACAAGAACAAAGGTTGAGAACCTAAAACGTATTGTTCACCCAACGAGATTCAAATTGAATAAAATGCGGACAAAAAATTTCAAGACAAAAAAGGATTGCCGTGTAGCAGGGTAATTTATTCAATGCCGGACATCATCATATTTGGGTACGCTAAAGAGCCTTGTCGTTTTCCAGCTGGATTCAAAAGGAGGGTGCTATATATCAACCGAGCCAAGTTATATATATCTTTTGTCTTTTGTATTTCAACAACAATGTAATGTATCATTGATCAAGTAGTTAAGTATAAACAAAATTCCAAAAGAATAAATATTTAATTAAAAGAAGAGGTTACGTTTCCTGATAGTAGCTCTCGTTTTTAAACATAGAATATCACATGTTCTGGCGGTTTGTTAGATATACGCTCGAAAACCACCTCACTTCATTTTAGCACGTGGCATAGCTCCTAACTAAAAATAAACAAGTGAGAGAAAGGACTAACTTTGTGTTTTGCCTCACTGAGATTACTCACTTTAGCAAATCACACAAAATGTCAGACATATACTCATTACGGCGATAAATGAGAAATTTAAACCCGTCTACAAAGTAAAGTCTTGCATATAAAAGGCTTTAACCACCAAGAATAGAATGAAGTTTCTCTGAAATTTACACCGCCTTCATAAGATTTGGCCAAGTACCTGTTCTTTTGGTTTCGCTAAAAACTTCCAAGCAATGTAACTTATAACTGGTCTTTCGCTTACAGCAAAGGTTTAGATTTTCGATTAATTGACAATGCATGTGTTTGCTTTTGAACCACCTCTGTGCCAATAGCTGATTAAGTCGAGCTTTTTTCTTAAGCGTTTAAACACCATAACCATTAAAGAAGCTATTTGTTAATATCTGAGAAATCCCATTTGAATTTGTTGACTGAAAAGAGGAGAGCAAACATGGCACCTTGATGTTTGGGATGTGCTTCGTCTTGTTTACAAAAGAGGCGTTAATGAACCACTGTGTCCTAAAAAATAGTTTGTACCCTCGGAACGAGTTGAATAAATAAAGTGAATGGTGCAGTCGGTTAAACTTTTTATGTTTCCGAGACAAAGTAAGCTGTCGGCAAACATTAAAGAAAAGTAAGCTGTTATTCGCAGCTCCCAAGTGCTTTGTTTATTCGTGCGTCGGCTATCAATGCGCCTCACGAAAAGAGGGAATTAGTCGTGGTGAACAGTTTAATTAAATAAGTCTATTAAGAGCTAAGTAAAAACATTTAATGAAAAAACATACAAACGCTTAGAATAAGTAAGGGACTTAACTTGCGGGCTACTATGCGCACCCGCCCCTTCGCTTTTGTTTTTTTTTAATCCGCTTCAGTCTCCAAGGAGCTTTGTTTCCCCGGCTGGCAGTTTACAAACAATTTAAAACATATTTTTACTCCTTAGACTAGGCCGGAAAAGTGGTCAACCTCTGAAATGTTACAAGCCATGTTTTTGTTATTTAATTTGTGTGTGTGTTCTCCCTTGTTACCCGAATGAATCGCACAGCCTTGCTAGAACGCTGTTTCTGTAATGATTCTATTATTTAAAAGTTGTTTGATTGGTGTGAAAACTATTGCTACAAACACATACTAAAAAAAACGCCTTGTGCTTCGTTTAATCATGGCACCTGATTGTTACAGCGGGAATATCAGCTGTGTTTTCTAAAAAGGCTGGTTTTGTTTGCTAACTAAACACGTGTTCATAAATAATAATAATAAAAAAGATTCTTGGTGGTGTTTTCCATACATCCCACTACTTTAAGTCAACTATTTTATCTTTGTTTTTCTTGCATAAAATGTATCGAGGGTCTTCCTCAAGACAAGTTACTCTATATTCTTTCTTTACATGTCTGCGGTTACAGGCTGTCCTTTCTACGAAATGATTCCTATAAGACTTTCACCGGTGAAACTGGTCCCTACCAAGTCGCAAATTGACCTGTGTTTCCTGAAATCATCTCCGAAACTCGGGGACCGTTAAAATCCCGTTCACCTAAGTCGATCTTTTTCCCATTTGTAAGAACTCAGTATGGCTTCGAACTGCGCCTCTGTCGGAGAGTTAGTAAAACAAACTCGCTAAGACCCGTTAAGAGAAAAGTAAATAGACCCCATTGATGTGTTGCTAAAAAATTAGTGGTT